ATTTTACATTGCCACCTCTGTGCGTTTCGAGCCTGGAACAGCATTTGAGCCTGGAACATCGTTTGAACCTGGAACCAATTCTTACACTGCAAATTCATGGATCCTAGAACCTGTGAGAACATGTGGAAACAGTCGAGTCGTCCTGTTAGGACCTTTTGGGGGAACATGTGGGAACAGTGGAGGCCTCTCCAGTGCAACTTCTGCGAACCTAGAACCTGTTGGGACCTGTTGGTACCAAGCGGTGGACATCTGCTGGGGTGGAACTGTCTGGCACTGGAATAGTTTAGAGACTTGGAACGTATTGTTGGTACTTCAAGCTAGGTAGTGGAATGAAACCGGCAGTGAAACAATGGGCGGGCAACCCATTGGCACCGGCAAACCATGGACACTGGGAACAGGTTGGCATGGCGACCGGTTTGAACCTGGAACCTGTTTGGACCTGGAATGGAATGGAATGACACTGCAACCTGTTTCAAACCTGGAACAGATTTGAAAGTTCTACCTGTTGGAACTCGTGAACTTCGGAACTGTTTGGAACTGTTTGGAACTGTCTGGAGACGCATGCACTGGTTTGAACGCGTGAACTTTGGAACTGTTTGGAACTGGGTGATCCTGTGAACTATGCTGGAGCGTGGAAGCGGTTTGGTACCGGTTTGGGACACAGAACTGAGGCTGATACGGTACCCTTGCAGTGCAGGTGGGGTCAATAAGAAAGAGTTGTGCATTATACCAAGAAAAGCTGTCTGGAAGGCATTCTTGGTACGGATCTTCTCCCTCCCTTCCTCCCTCCCTCCCTCCACTCCCTGCCTTTTCCCCTCTGTCCCTTTCTTGATAGGGCGTCTTGTCCCTCCCTCCCTCCCTCCCTCCCTCCCTCCCCCCCCCCCCCCCCCCCCCCCCCCCTTCTCCCCCTCGCTCTCCCTCCCTTCCTCCCTCCCTCCCTCCCTCCCTCCCTCCCTCCCTCCCTCCCTCCCTCGCTCCCCACCTCCCCCTCTCTCTAGGACTGTTGTTCCTATGTTCCTCCCTCCCTCTTTCTGTCCCCCCTTCCTCCCTTGTTCCCTCTCTCCTTCTCTTCATAGGGCATCTTGTCCCTCTCTCCCTCCCTCCCTCTCTTGCTAGGGCCTCTTGTCCGTCCCTCCCTCTCTTGCTAGGACCTCTTGTCCCTCCCTCCCTCCCTCCCTCCCTCCCTTGTCTAGACCTGGACGAATCTGACTGCAATCGCGTCCAGATCCTTGGCGTAGTGTGAGTACGCCCTCAGCTCTCACTGCAATCACGAATCTCACTTTTTTATTTTTAACTTTTTTTTTTTTTCCTACCGTCTTCACCCGAATAGAACGCCCGGTCATTAATTTTTAGTCCGGATAGATGGATAAGAGTCTGACCGACTCTGACGGGAAAAAAAGAGAGAAGAGGAGACTAACAAATTGAAGATGAAGATAAAGGGGAGGGTTAAAAGAAGTAAAGGGGTAAATGAGTCAAATGACGAAGACAAATGAGGGTTAAAAGTAGTAAAGGGGTAAAATGACGAAGACAAAGGAGGGTTAAAACTTAAAAGAAGTAAAAAAGGGGTGAAGTCTAGCTAAGTTTTCTCTTCTGCTGTCTTTTTTTTTTTTTTTTTTTTCCTCTTCTGCTGTCTTTTTTTTTTTTTTTTTTTTTTCCCTCTTCTGCTGTCTTTTTATTATTATTATTATTATTTTTTTTTTTTTTTTTCCTCTTCTGCTGTCTTTTTTCTATTTGGCAGTTAAGTGGCATTAAGTTGAAAGTTGAAACTGACACAACTTTTGAATATTATGTGTCAGGATGTTTATTGTCTGGATGCCGACGGCTCTCTTTTTGACGCAGCGCTGCTGGCGGCAGTCTCTGCACTCAGCGATGGTGAGTATTCGGGTCCGCCCCCCCCCCACCCTGCCTGTTGGAGGAAGTTCATTAGAACTTGCGTTCCTCCTTCCTGTATGTATCTGGCAATGAATCTGACTGTACTTAACGGCTAGATTCAGATCAACTCCACAGTTTGTTTGTCTGCAACGTTTCTCTTCTTTCCCCCCTTGCTAAGCGTTTGCTTTGCTCGCACCTGTACTTTCCTTCCTGGATGTATCTGACTGTAGCTACAGCCAGATTCATCTCGAACTCCGCTGCATGTTTGTATGCGGTGTCCCCTCCCCCTCTTCAACACATCAACCACCATGCCACACTCACATCTAGTTGCGCACCTCACAGCAGTGAGAATGCACTGAGAAGTTGAGAACAAAGATAACGCACTGAGAACATACTCTACTGAGCACACACTGAGAACGTACTCTACTGAGCACACACTAAGAACGTACTCTACTGAGCACACACTAAGAACGTACTCTACTGAGAACACACTGAGAATCCGCGGAGAACCCACTGCGAACACAGAATACACTGAGATTGCACAGAATGCATTGGGAACATAATGAGACTGCACTGAGAATGCACTGAGCATTCACAGAGTATCCTCAAAGAATCCACTGAGAATGCACTGAGTATGCACTGAGAACACACTCAGTATCCACTAAGAATGCACGGAGACTGCTCTGAGAATGCACTGAGAATGCACTGAGAATGCACTGAGAATGCGCTGAGAATGCACTGAGAATGCACTGGGAATGCAGATTACACAGAATGCATTGGGAACATACTGAGAATTCACTGAGAATGCACTGAGTTCTGAGAATGCACTGAGCACTGAGCACTGAGAATTCACCGAGTATCCTCAAAGAATGCCGAGTATCCTCAAAGAATGCACTGAGAATGCACTGAGAATGCACTGAGAATGCACTGAGAATGCACTGAGTATGCACTGTGAATGCACTG